TGGGGAGCCCAGAACTGGACACAGTACTCCAGATGGGGCCTCACCAGGGCAGCGTAGGGGGGAAGGAGATCCTCCCTTGACCTGCTGGCCACACTCCTCTTGATGCATCCCAGAATCCAGTTGGCTTTCTTGGCAGCCAGGGCACACTGCTGGCTCATGGTCAACTTGTTGTCCACCAGGACTGCCAGGTCCCTCTCCACAGAGCTGCTCTCCAGCAGGTCCGCCTCGAGCCTGTACTGGTGCATGGGGTTGTTCCTCTCCAGGTGCAGGACCCTGCACTTGCCCTTGTTGAACCTCATCAGGTTCCTCTGCGCCCAACTTTCCAGCCTGTCCAGGTCACGCTGAATGGCAGCACAGCCTTCTGGTGTATCTACCACTCCTCCCAGTTTGGTGTCATCAGCAAACTTGCTGAGGGTACATTCTAACTCTTCATCCAGGTCATTGATGAAAAAGTTAAACAAAACTGGGCCCAGTACTGACCCTTGGGGGACACCACTAGTCACCGGCCTCCAACTAGACTCAGCGCCGCTGATGACAACCCTCTGAGTTCTGCCATTCAGCCAGTTCTCATGTTGATGACTTACTAGTAGCCAAGGAATCTTGTATAGCTGACACCTGTTCCTTACTGTTTGCCTCAGCTGAAAAGGGCCATTGGGCCTCTCCGCATAAGTTAAATTTTTGTAAGAGTAGTGTAGAATATCTGGGTTACATTCTCCAACAAGAGGAGTGGCATTTATCTGAAAACTGCAATAAAACCATTCAAAATCTTCCCCGACCAGTTACTAAAAGCAAACGTGAGCCTTTTTAGGAGCTGTAGGATTCTGCCACCCCTGGATAGCTGCTTCTGAGGAAATGGCAAAACCCCCGATATAGATTATTGCTCAGGATGCTGGAGAATCCATTCACTGGACAACAGACAAGGTAAACACATTCAAGCTTTTGTAGCAAGCTGCACCTGCCCTGGGATTGCCAGACTACAATAAACCTTTTACCTTGTCTGTACAAGAAGGGCAAGGGATAGCCTCTGGGATGTTATCTAACATGCTGAACCCTGCTCAAAGAAGTAAGAACTTCTTCCCTCTGAGGGTGATGGAGCACTGGGACAGGCTGCCCAGAGAGCTTGTGGATTCTCCTTCTCTGGAGATACTCAAAACCCGCCTGGACAAGGTCCTGTGCAGCCTGCTCTAGATGACCCTGCTTCAACAGGGGGGTTGGACTGGATGACCCACAGAGTTCCCTTCCAACCCCAAACATTCTGTGATTCTGCTACTCTACTCACTTCAGCTGAGGAAGGAATTCCATATCATGGATGTGTAGTAACAACCCATGAAGATGAAGAAACTTGAGAAGATGTCACAGACATGCTGTTTCTAAATCCCAATCTCAAACTATTTGTGGGCAGGTCCTCTTATCTGAACAGCAACCAGGTTAACAGGTTATTCAATAATTACTGTGAATGAAGTAGTGGAGGCTTCACCACTCAGTCCAAAGCTGAGTGCACAAGCAGCTGAATTAATTGCACTAACTAAGGTCTATAAGCTGACCAAAGAAAGGACGGCAAATATTTATGTTGATTCTCTATATGCATTTGGACTATGCCACGCTACTGGGCAGTTACGGAAGCTGTGTGAGTTTATAACTTCTAGTGGAAGTAGAATATCAAGTGCTCTGAAAATTATTGAGCTGTTAAGAGCTATACAGTTGTCAGCAAAACTTGGTATCATTCGTCAGCCCGCCCATGCCAGCAGAAGGACAAACTAAGAGATAAGAAACAGTCTAACTGATATAGCTGTAAAGGTGCGGCATGATAGCCATGCAAACTGCCAGGCTTTCAAGCAGTCCAAAGGTTCAACCTGGTGTTACTTGCTTCTGAAAAGATATGTTTGAC